ATTCCAAACAAATATCCCTCATGCATACATTAATTATAACAAAAACACAGGTAGTGAACCCATCCCAAACCATTAGGAAAAAAGAGCGCATGGAGAAAGCTCAAGAATGATCAGGTGCCTTTTGACTTAAGGAGTAACAGAAGCCCATATAAATCTAACAACCATCTAATTGTCCTGAGAACCATAGCACGATTGAGTTTCTAATATGTCTGTGTGAAACATACATGTAATACATCTTATCTGTCCGCACAAAATCACTCGAAACATATGCATCTTGAAAATAACAAAATACCTTCTATTCTATACTATTGCTGCTTCAAGTATTAATAATAACAAAATAACATCAGCAACAACAAATGACCAATTCAGCCATCTTCAAGATAAGGGTTAAAATTTGACATGTTGACTGTATATAATAGTTTCATCAAGGATTCTGGGTACAAAATTAGAGACTTTCCACATTAAATATCATACCTTTTTAGCAATCAGATGACGCTCTCAATTAATTAAAAAAATTGAAGAAAAAAAGTTATAGTTTCCAGGTTTCTTGTTTTTGATAAAGTCTACTAAGCTGATTGGTTAGTAGCTAATTTTATTTATACTAATAAAACAAAAGTCTTTACAAATAAAAGGAATATGAACTTGCAAGCAGCTTGGACTCAAGACAGCCCTTTAAAGTCATAAGAGAACCTGAAAGTGTCAGCCATTTCCTTCTCCATTGTAGAGCTGCAAGAGACATTTGGGATATGTTTTTGTGCATTTTTAGGAGATACTGGCTATGCCCTTCAACGTTAAAGATGCCTACTCTAGCTGGGACTATGGCGAGTTGGAAAATCCATCAAAAGCATCTGGCAAATGGTTATTCTGGTGCATTTGGTCAGAGAGGAATAATAGATGCTTCGATAAGATCTCAATTCCTAACCACCCCTTAAAAGCTAGATATCATTCATTTTTTTTTTGCTGGTGTAACTTAAACTATGTACATATATTGAACAACTGATAGATTATATTAGCTCCTTAAAACATTGTCTAGCAAATATCTTGTACTGGAGCTATTTCGTTTCTACTTTAATTTTCATCCTCTGGGGGCTATTTTAATGGAATTCCTTTTACTTCATCAGAAAAGAGACTAGGCTGCTCTTAACAATAACATTTAAAAATAAAATAAAAGAAAGATTAGACTGCTCTTCCTCAAGAAATGATACGTCTGACATTAAACGACAAGGATAAAGTTTCCTGATCATATTCTTTGAACAAAGAGGTTTCTTGAGAACCAACCCAAATTGCTCAACCCAACCCCTCACAGAAAGGAAAAAGAAAAAGAAATACTAAAAAGTTTACAAATAATTTTCTGAGTGGCTGTTCATAATGTGGGTTGGGGGTGGAGAGAGGTGGTCAATGAATCTGAAAATTGAGTACTTCTAAAATTTCTAGATACCTATAGTATATAATTTAAACTAATTAATCTAGTCTTATTTTGGTCCAAAATTTTAACAAACTGACATTTACAATAGAGAGTGTCAACAAATTGGGATGGGCATAACTGGACCAGTATAGAGAAAAAGGACTTGCATATGGTGTTCATCGACTTAGAATAGGCATACGATAAAGTTACGAGGGACATTTTGTGGAGATGTTTGGAGGCTAGAGGTGTACCTGTTGCCTATAGTAGGTTGATTAAGGACATGTATGGAGTAAAGACCCGAGCGAGGACGGTGGGTGGGGACTCGGACCATTTTCAGGTTATGATGGGGTTGCATCAGGGGTCAGCACTCAGCCCTTTTTTGTTTGCTCTGGTGATGGACGTACTGACGTGCCACATCCAAGGGGAGGTGCCATGATGCATGCTATTTGCAGATGATATTGTATTGATTGACGAAACGCGAGACGATGTGAACGCGCAATTAGAGGTATAGAGGCAGACCCTAGAATCTAAAGGTTTTAAGTTGAGCAGGACCAAGACAGAATACTTGGAGTGTAAGTTCAGCAGCGAGACTCAAGGAGGGGAAGGAGAGCTGAGGTTGGACTCGCAGGTCATCCCTAGTTAAGGGAGTTTTAAGTAACTTGGGTCTATTATTCAGAGGATGGGGAGATTAATGAAGATGTCACACATCGTATTGGGGCGGGATGGATAAAATTGAGACTCGCTTCTGGTGTTTTGTGTGACAAGAAGGTGTCATTGAAACTTAAGGGTAAGTTCTACAGAGCAGTGGTCAGACCAACGATGTTGTATGGGGCTGAGTGTTGGCCAGTCAAGATCGCTCAAGTACAGAAGATAAAGGTAGCAAAGATGAGGATGTTGAGATGGATATGCGGGTACACCAGGTTAGATAGGATCAGAAATGAGGTTATTCGCGACAAGGTAGGTGTGGCCCCTATTGAGGACAAGATGCGGAAAGCGCGGCTTAGGTGGTTTGGTCATGTGAGGAGGAGGAGCTCAGACACCCGGTGAGGAGGTGTGAGAGGTTGACATTGGAGGGCCTACGGAGAGGTAGAGGTACGCCAAAGAAAGGTGGGGAGAGATGATTAAGCAAGACATGGCGCAGCTTCAGTTGACCGAGGACATGACCCTTGATAGGAAGGTATGAAGGTCGATGATTAGGATAGTAGAGTAGGTAGTCTAGAGCGTTCATAACAGTAGCATTGGTACGCAGTCTCACTTTCTGTTGGTAGTAGGTTTTTATGACTAACTGTTGTTTTCTTTTATTGTTAAACACCTTACTGTCTGTTGTTTTTATTCTACTTTTATATAATTTTTTGGTATTGTTCCTTCTTGTCTATATTTTCATTAATGTGGTGCTTATGCTTTCCTGAGCCGATGGTCTATTGGAAACAAGCCTCTCTATCCTCACAAGGTAGGAGTAAGGTTTGCGGACACACTACCCTCCCCAGACCCCACAATGTGAGATAATATTAGGTATGTTGTTGTATAACTAACCTAAGAGCCAAACACATTTCCATTCAATAATTACCTGGGCAGTAGATTGCAATCACATCTAGACTACGAACTCAAAAATCGCAAGCCAAAAGAAAGATGAATGACTAGCACCTCCAAGCAAAGCACTCCGCACTGACAAAATTATGAGAATTGTTGCAATATGTCATTATGGCTGCACCTGGCAGCATCCTCATGAAGTAACTCATGAACCTTAGTAGTCCAGAAATGATGAATGCCTTGGCCTTATTTGGAATCTCAATGGTACCCTGCCTTGGAAGATTGGAAGTTTGAAACTAACACTTGCTCCATCAATATTAATCTTCTTTTTGACCATGCATTGACCTCTGGAAGAGACAACTTTAAATCAACTCTAAAATTCCAGAATATTCATTACATTTCTTTTTCTCATTGATGATTGAAGCAAGCATCAATGATGATTTATAGCAACTGAAGAATATCTTACATGCTCTCCTTCAAGCTTACGATAGACCCTTGGCGTAACTGGTAAAGTTGCTACCATGTGACCAGGAGGCCACGGGTTTGAGCCGTGGAAACAGCCTCTTGCAGAAATGCAGGGTAAGGTTGCGTACGATAGACCCTTGTGGTCCGGCCCTTCCCCGGACCCCGCGCATAGCGGGAGCTTAGTGCACCGGGCTGTCCTTCTGTCTCCTTCAAGCTTAGATTGCCATATTTTAACTCCACACAAAGAGAATAGTGTTGCAGGTGCTTTAAGGTAGTCCAAAATGAATTAGAATATTTTCTTTACATGAATTGAGATTCTTACATTAAGCAAAAAAGGTTGTAATGCAGTAAGGAGGATATGCGGAAATAAGCATGGGGAAAACGTAACTCTCAGAAAACAAAATTTTACAGTACCTTGTATTGCTCTAAGGAGGATGTTTCATCAATCATTTTAGAGACGTCAGGTGAGAAATTAGAGTTCATGGAACTTAAACCATCTTTCAAATTTATGAAATCTTGAAGTGACAAATTTTTGAAAACAAGGCTTCCATCTAAAGAAAAGGCTCCCTTGACAGTCTGCTCATCCAAAAACATGAAAGAAATTTTCTAAACAACCTGAGAAGCTAATGTAGGGATATATGTTGAAATCGTTAAATAGATGATTGAAGAAGGAACTAACAATGGAGAGCATAGACCTCGCACTACAAAATAGTACATATTTAAGTCTATACCCATTCCAAACGTAGTCAGCTGAGCCTTATTTATAAAAAAACACTGTAGTTAGCTTGGTTATTAGTTAGCCAAAACAAGCTACAAACATTAGATGAGCTATCCTTTGCCTTGGATACTCTCAATTACTTCCATATCCTACCATAGTTGATACCTCAAGAGTGTGTTACACATCCCAGCCAAAGAAATCACCATTTAACATACCAATTTATGTAGATGCAGATCCAAGTGAAATTACTAATGAAGCTTCGATTGTTAGGTAATATAGAATTAGAACTAAATTCAATTTAAATTTATATTGAGATCAAAGTCACAAGTCGGCTGAACCTTGCCCTGCCATCATGGTTGAGTTTGTCGATTTTGATTCCTTAAAACGTGATGGTTAAGAACTGATATAGCCAATAGCAGTAGCCCAACATAAAAGCATAAAGTTAACTCAATAGCTTGATGTGATAAGAATTGTATATTAAACTGATGATTATAAACAAGTACAACCAGCTGTCACATGCTCTCAACGTTAAGAAAAAGGAGGGAAAGAAGAATAAGGGTGAGCCAGCCCAACATACACTTAATGGTACAACACAGAGTTTATACAAGGATTTCGTGTGTTTTTTACTAAGTAGACAAGAGAAGAGCAAGAGTACGCAGACAAATTAATTATTTCTACTAGGAACATAAACTTGAGTTTTTAAACTTGAATCAGAAACAAAAATATCTTATAGGATTGCACATTTCCAAAGGTCTGAAATTAGAACTGTTAACTGTTAACCACAATATATATATTTCAATTTATGTAGATCTCAATTTTAGCTAATACTGGGATAAATTAACAGGAATGTATAAAGTTGACAAGAAAACAAAGGAACCAAGATAAACAATGAGCTTCAAAGCCATCTCATGGGTATAAATTTGTCAATCTTTAATAATAATTACAGCATAGAACAAGTAATTCCCATGTAAGGCTAACTCTCAAGTATCACCAAACATATACTAATACATAAAAATTTGTATCTTTTTCCAACCTCAAGAATCTGAAAGAAATACTACAAAGATATTATACATGGGACTATTACAGTGTTAAAAACGAACCGGGGTTCTAAATTGAGCGGTTAGGAGGACGAACGGAGATTTGGACCGGAATTGGACGACCCGTACCTGAACCTCCACAACTGCTGCAAGCCATTCGACCCGACCCGGCACAGGTCCGACAACCCACATCACCATCCGACCAGCGAGAGCACATGCAAGAAACCCGACCCGTGCCATTACAACTGGAGCACCGAGGAAACTGACCCGAACCCATCATGGTCTTCTCGTCCATCAATTTCACCAAAGCTGCACCGGCCAATACACTCAGACCAGTGGCTAATACTATTGGACCCATTATTTCTGATTCAACAAAGAGTACGCAAATGCCAGAAGAAGAAGAAAAATTTTGAGATTTTCTTCAAGTTGTATTGATATTTTTCTTGAATTGGGTGTCAGAAAATGAATCTTTCTTCTTATGCTTCTTCTATGATTTTTTCTAATTGAATGGAAATGTTAAGTGGTTGATGGGTTGTACACGTAAAAGGGTGTGAACCTGGTGAATTTAAGGGAGCTAAGGTTTTGGAATGTAGTAGCGCATGTTTTTGATGACTATTTTGTTTTTATTTATTTTACTGGTTCTGGTGGCTCTGGTACAGTGCGTGTAGTCTTATTTTCTATAATTTCTACTACTTCCAGTAACTAGTTGTTGCTTATTTGCATCCTCTAATTTTGGAAGATTTTGATTTTGCTTTTGCTTCTCCCACTTGATTTCTCTACGTACTTTTCTTCTTCTTTTTTCTTGCTTTTACTCTTCTCTTACCTTAACCCACGCAAAAACTTATCAAGAAACTCACTTGTCACCTTATTATTTTTAATAATTTAGGTAATAATAAACGATATCTAATGAACAATCAATCAATGAACGAGTACTCTACTCTATAGTGAGAAACGATTGTATATCACGTATATAAATTTTCTCTCTATTTGGTTCATTTCACGTTTACGTAGAAAGCTTCAGAATTAAAATTAACTTATATATATATACATATATATATATATATATATATATATATATATATATATTATAAAAGCACTAATTTTAAAATGTTAAATATTGAACGACTAAAATATTCCCGAAATATTGACAGATTTTTATACCCTTTCTAAGCTAAATTAGTTTTAAAAAATATTACACCTAAAGGATGAAATTGTAATATTGGTAATCATGTCATGTTATTTTTACTTGGACAACAACATCGGATAAAAAAGTTGTGCCTCCTATTCCGACTAATTAGAAGAAAACGCACATTAGGAGATGTAAATCTAATCAGTCACGAAATCCATATGACAAAGGATAACTATCTCATTATGTTCAAAACCAAGGTAGTTGTATGCCCCACAGAAAAGCACAACAAGTAAATCCAAATTTTTAAAGAAAAAAAATTATATAGTGCTGATATAACAAAAAAAAAATTTAAGGAATATGAATAAAATAATCCAACTCTTTACTAGTGCAAATGTGTGTTGGGTTGACGCTATTGGTAAGTATTGAAGCTATTGTTAAATATTGATTATATAAATGATTGACTTAAGATAGCAAATACATATAGACTAGTATTATAAAATATTCTTAAAATATAAAATTATTTTTTAAAATATGTTGGATAAAATTGTCATATTTATAACTTTCCAAATATTTAGGAATTCAAATTCAATTAAATTTATATTCATGGAAACTTTTTTACTACTATCTTTTAACCACTCAAATAAACTCCCATAAGGATTAAAAACCAAGAACTTGACTTTAAATTGCCGGGAAAAATAAGACATTAATTTATTAGTTTTACGAGTCTTTTTTTCTATTGAGGCAAACATCAAGTACTACTACAAAAAATGTTAAAGATTATAAAATTAAAGAGAGAATGAGTGACCTCTCACTACAACAACATTCAACTACTCAGAATCACATTCCTCCCAAACCTCCTAATAAACTCAATCCTCAATCATCGAATACACTATCCTACAAGGAGACTCTGCTCCAGGATGAGTTCTTCATCAATAACACTACTCAACCAGTGGAAGAAATCCCAGCATTCCCAATGGAAATCCAGTCATCTGAACTGGATGACACGAACTCAGGGGTATTATCAAACAAGTTGAAGCGAATAATCCTATCTGAGGAGGATATAAAACGCATGTATAGCCTTTGAAAATTCTCGGTCATCATAAAACTTATGGGCAAAAGACTAGTGCATCACTACTTAAAAAAGAAACTCTATGACCTATGGAAGATTAATGAGAATTTTCCTCTCATTGATCTTGGAGAAGACTACTACACAGTCAAGTTGGCTAGGGAGGAAAATATGACCAAAATACTACATAATGGACATTGGTTCATCAATGGCTTCTTTCTTTCAGTTCTAAAATGGGTGCCCAATTTTGTAGCAAAAGAAGCCCATCAAAGCTATACAGTTGTGTGGGTACGCCTACCAGAACTACCCACGAAATTGTACGATGGAATTATACTCTCAATAATTGGCAACTGCATTGGCAAACTACTTAAAGTAGATACATGCGCCTCAGCCACATTAAGGGGAAGATATGCCAGGCTGTTTGTGGAGTTACCTTTGAAGCAACCAGTGCAAAATTACCTTCTAATTGGATAACATAAACAACTCATTCTATATGAAGGTGATGATATTCTATGCAAAGCATGCGGTAGGTTGGGACACACAAGTCAGAGATGCTCACAAGCCACTCTACCAACCAAACAAAAGGCAGACCAATCAGCTCTTGAGCCATCATAGTCCAGGACTAATAATGTAGGGGAATGGATGACAGTCTCATTTCCTAAAAAGGGCAAATCTAAGGCAGCCAATCAACTGAAAGAAAAGGCTAGTGCAAACATATCCCCAGGTATAAATGTTCGAATATATGATGTTGTGTCAGGTAAGTATCTTAATATACAGCGTTTAAATTATATTAACAAGCAACTTCTGATCAATAATCCAAACCCAATAGTAATCACATTACAATCTGATCATAGTAATGAACTAACCATCATCGACAAAATTCAACTTTCTAAACCTCATGATGAAGGTGAAATCAGTTTTGCTAAACCATCAAAGCAGCACGAGGTTTTGGAAAAAGAGGAAAAAAATATTCAAATTCCCAAAAATCTGCATGAAACACAAGCTCTCTTATTTACAGATGTCACAAACGTGGCACAATATCCAGACATGGATAATAAGCAAAATCTTTTGCTTAATACAATGGACTTCGACATAAATCACACAAGCACCAATCAGGAAAGCCAAGAACAAATCAATTACTCCATTAACAATAATCACAACACAAATAATGATTACACTAAAAATCACCATGCATGTTCCACCCCTAATAACCAATGCTCTCTCAAACACTTGGCAAACACAAAAAGCCAAGTGGCAGAGGACATATCCATGCAAGATTTGGATATATACCTCACGCAACTTCCTTCCCAGCTTATACAAATAGATACAATCATTAGCAACCCCCCTCCCCCAATCACCTTCACACCACCCCTCATATGAAACACCAAGCTCACCAAAATTCCAAGACCTCCACTTATACTGAGGAGAAGGTTTCGATTGATACAAGTGATCCACCTTTCTCACAGTCAAACAATGAATAATCTCCCAAATCTTCCCCCTCTATTCCCCTCAAACCCAATGATCTATGCTCAACCACCAAGCCCACCAAAATCATGTACCACAATCATGGGTAGAATTGGGCCTTCAAGGTCATGGAGTGTCTTTTAACATGGAGATCAATGACAGGAGTCCATTCTGATAATCCACAACACACATTTCCTAGCTCAGTTAATCTCAGAGGGGATGAGCTTAGCTATGAACAACTACATCAACCAAATGTGGATTAGAAACATTCTCCAACCACTAGCTCCATCAATGAACCAAAACCTAGCAAACAACATACAACAGATGTGGAATATCCCAAGCAACTTCAACCACTAGATGCCTCAAAATCCACCTCTAAATCTTCCATTCTTTGCTCCGGAGGATCTAATGCTCTGGAATCCAGTATTCACACAATGGACTACTCAGCCCATGCACAACCAACAACACGACCCACAACCAAATCCAATGGAAGAGCAAGCTCCACTCCAAAACATGCCAAACCAGGAAGGGCTCTATGAGGAAGAAGAGGAGGAGGAAAAGTTGCCACACTTGGGGGAGCCAACAGTGGTTTTTTCAAGCCTAAGCGAGGTAAAAATACTCATATTTAGGGAGATGCTAGACAGGAAGTCTATCTTCAGTTGCCCAGTGACACTCTATAAGTGCTCACTAGACATACGACCTCCACATGACTCAACTGTGGTAAAGAATGTAGTGATACTAGTTCCCTCACTCAGGAGGATCCACAACAACAACAACCTCAATAATAATTCCATGCATCAACCAAATAACTTTATAATTTGGAATGTTAGAGGTGCAAATAATGCCAACTTTGGTAGGTACTTTAAGAAACTTATGGACACTCATAGACCCTATTTAGTTGCTCTATTGGAAACAAAAATGGAGAGTCACATCTTTATCCTAGAGGATTTTAGCTTTACTGAGATGATAGAGGTTCTATCAGTTGGCCAAAGCAGAGGGTTGGTAATTCTGTGGAATAATTAAGTGGTGACAATCAACAACTTCACTAGACATGGGCAAGCCATTCATGCAATGATCAAGGTAAAACATAAAAACTTATCTTGGTTATTTACTGTCATTTATGCTAGTAATGATATTCATAATTGAAATATGTTATGGGATATCCTTAGAAATATTTATGATCACTATAGAGGCCCTTGGTTAGTTGGTGGTGATTTCAACAAAGTAGTAAACTCTACTGATAAATATGGGGGTAGATGTATTAACCAGAAAAGAGCAAACTCCTTAATAAACTGCCTAAACTACTGTAATCTAGTAGACCTAGGTTTTAAGAGGTGTAAATACACCTGGTCAAACCATTATAGAAGAAGAAATGGTTTAATCATAGAACGATTGGATAGGGTTTACTCTAATGATTATTGGTTACAAGCCTTTGTTAATGTAACCATAACTCATCTACCTAAAATCCATTCTGACCATAACCCTGTCCTTATTAACCTTAACAATAGAATTAATTCCAGTAATGACAGACCCTTTAGATTAGAAATATATTGGTGTTCACATCCGGATTTCCCTAGGATTGTTTCTAACAACTAGGAAAATAAAGACCTAGTGGAAGGAATTGAGTCCTTTCAAAAAATGTGTTAGATTGGAAAAAACAACCTATGGTAATATTTTTGCTAAGAAAAGGAAAATTCTAGGAAAAATTGATGGGATTCAAAAATCTCCTAATTACCCAACAAGCAACTTCCTTAAAGACTTGAAAACTAATTTGATTGAGGAGTATAATACAATTCTTAAACTAGAAGAAGACTACTGGAAGCTTTGTTCTAGAGTTAATTGGTTAAATGAATATGATGCAAATACCAAGTTTTTTCACATAAAAGTCACCAATAGAA